CGAGCACACCGCCCCCGCTCTAATTCTCCTCCCCACCCAGGCTTGTGGCGCCAAACAGCTGATTGGCGATGCAAGCCTAGGAGGCGGGAGAAGTAGAGCGGCGACCGCGCGCTCAGAGAGGGGGCGTAGGAACGATGTAAAAAAAAATTGGGGGCACCGCTTTTTGGCGCCCCCAAATCTTGGCACCCTAGGCAACCGCCTAGTTTGCCTTAATGGTAGCACCGGCCCTGCCCTTTTATAATACAGCCCACAATTACATGATCACTGTCTTCAGTTCCGTGATCACTGACTGGTTTTCCCTCAGGACCCCGGCCTCAGTCAGCGCACAGAATGGAGGAGGCTCACTTAATGAGCAGCAAGTCAATAGTTTGTTTTCTGCTGGTTACTTGTGCCCGTTGCTCCAGCTCGATGCCCAGGGCCTGGTTCTCATTCATACAAGGCTCTGGCAGTGGAAAGGGGACGTAAGCTGAGTGGAACTGTGATTTACGTCCATGTGAAGGTGGCTTTGTGCTGCCAGAGTGGTGTGAAGGGGATGTGGTGGCACTGAGAAATCCGGTCCCTTCGCAGTGACACACTTTTCACACCTGTGACATTGTTTTCACAAGCCGGCAAAGGTGCCCAAAGCCTCGGATCACAACAGGACTTAACAGCTGATCCCTCCCACCTCCCTGCTGCCTCGAGATGGAGCGAGAGAAATAAGCAGAGAAGCAAAAGTGGATGTGGATTCAGTGAGCAAACTGCAAGGCCAAAGAGAGAAGCTGTCAGGGAACCATCCACTTAGGTATTTCAAAGGTACCAGCCGGCCACCTCTGCCCCACGTGGGAAAGTCAGACTGACACAAAAAAGGGGGCAAGTGGGTGGAAATGTATCACGCCCATGAGTCCTCAGCCGCATTTCAGAGCAGAGAACACTGACAAATACACCCTCCTCTGAAATGAATCACCTGAAACAATCACCCTCAGCAAAGCCCGAGTTATCAAATCCCAGTGAACTGAGTGTCCCAGTTGCCTGCAGTTTGGTTCTGTCCCTTAGAGCTGCCACCGCCTTTGCCCGAGAACCTCCCAGTCTGCAGCCAGCACAATCGCTTGAATGCCAAATAGTTCACAAGACTGGCTAGCTATCGCCTTAAAGACGGGGCTCCAGGCATATAGCCTCTTCTGAGCCAGGGTGTC